ATTGGGGCGCGGAGACCCCACCTGGACGCGGAGGCTCGCGCCCGGCCGCGCGCACAGCTTCTTGTTGCCGGCAGGATTCCTCCTGGGGCTGTGCTAGGAGCCTTGGGGCGCGGCTTCCTCGACCCCCGCCCCCAAGTTTTCTCTGCAGCCTGAGGTCGGGAAGGACGGACGGAGAGTGGATCCTCCAGGTGGTGGGAAAAGCTGATCGCGGCAGGATTAGCTTTGACGAAGCTGCGATTTCCGGAGCCTACGGAGGCTGTGACGCTCCTGGGCCCCAGCCCGGCCCTTGGGGAGAAGAAGCCTTGGGGTAGAGGAGGGTATCGGGCGCGACCCTCAGAGACGCCTGGGCGCGCGAAAGTCAGAGTGGGGCAGGAGGAGGCGCAACAGGACTGGCCTGGAGGGGAGGCGGGACGATCTTTCCTCCCCACGGACTGGCGCGCTGCTGTACGCTGTGCCGACCTCGGCCGGCTTCACTGGCCAACTCCACGTGCTGAAATACGCACACCCAATGGGATGTGCGGTTGCCTATCCACAGCTTAACAGCCTGGTGCCAGTTACCCTGCGATGGGAGAGGGGGCAGCCCCGACAAAAGCACGGGCTTATGGGGCCCCAGTTCCTTCAGCGCTCACCCCACGAAGAAGGGCTCCCAAACGGCCCCACTGGACGGCTTACCGGAGGATGGTCCTGCGCAGTGGGTGTTTGTTGAACAGATAAGAGACAACAAAAGAGACTAAGAAGAGGTTTGTTCTGTGAACCGGGGAAAGTGAAGCAGTCGCAAAAGAGAGTCTCGCCAAAGGGCAATCCTGGGGAAAAGATGGAGAGGCATGGATTTTTCTTGGATGTGTGCCTCATCCTGGGGCTCATCCCGCTGCGCATCAAATATTCATTGCAAAAGAGGAATAAGAAATATGCTCCAGACAATGCTGGATGGTCTGATCTCTCCATTGGCCGGAATTAACGGGACAGTCCCTAACCCCTCGCGGTCCTGAGAATCACCTGGCTTATGCACACCCCCACTAAACCACTGAAGTCCAGTTTCTGCGAGCGCAGCCAGGGAATGTGTATTTTTAAACAAGCCATCTAGGTTACTCTGATGAATGCAAAGTCGGAGAGCGCTGCTCTCATGCACTGAGCCTGAGCTTTATTCTATTAATAAAAAAGAAGAGGAGAATCCTGGGTGTCTTAAAGTGGCAGTTGAGTGGCCTTTGCCTTTTGGCGGGTAGGAGAGCAGACCCAGGCTCTAAGCACCCGCACCCACCGCTGGGCTCAGGATCTGCGCTGGAGAATAGAAGGGCTAATTTAATTATTATGCCTTTTTAGAGCATATTACATGTGGAGAAGGTGGGGCACGCTGAATTTTATTTTAGCCAAATACCCCTTATCTCCTTATACACTAGATATTTTTATATTGAACATTAGGGGATGGGTCATTTGTCATCAAATTGCCTGTAATACAGAAAATGATAGATACAACCGAACAGTTCAACCATGACGAGTTAAATAAATGATAATAAAAATAGATGCTGCAATAATATTTAATTGCTGTTACCGCTACAAGGATAAGTGTCTACTGACATGGAAATATGTTCAGGACATACAAATAAGTGAAAAGGCAGTCCTAGACACAGTGCGAGCCTGTGCGTGTGTGTGTGTGAGTGTGTGTGAGTCTGCATACATATGTAAATGTTTCTGAGCATTTTATTTCCTTTCTTTTGCTTAGTATAGGTAATGCTATTTTTCTCTCCAATGAACAGGCATTGTTTAGGGAAAAGAAACAGTTAATTAAAAACAATAAAATTTAGAGTGTCAACACCCCCAAGGTTACAGATTATGTTGAAAAGTTTGTCTGTATGTAAGGGCTGGGGTCAGGGTGGTCACTGACGGTCCTCACACATCTGTTCTCATGAGTTTGGCCCATTGCTCAGTCAG